GCAGTCAGAGAGCCCGTGAATGACTGTAAATGTGTTCCAACTACGGAGAACGTTCTAGGAGTGGGACAAGAGAAGAGTTCCATGCATCATAAGTGGTTGCATTGGAGTTTGCGGACGACTAAACTCTAGAATACAACGGCGAAATCATCAATAAAATCCGGCTCGAGAAGCCGTTCAGATACGGATGATGTGCAGCCCTAGCCCCGCGAACACTGGCCCTTGAAATAGTGCAGGGCGCTGACACATTCACTTGGCCGAATTTCATTGAGCATGACGTTACTGTACGTGTTCTACAGCACTTCTCTAGCCACGTGACCGTTACTACAGCACTTCTCTAGCCACGCGACCGTTACTACAGTATTTTTCTAGTCACGTGACCTATTCACTGTTTAGCCAGGGTTAGCGTTGACTTCCTGCGGGGGCCGCCACACTGGTTCCGATCGCCTGAATTTCCTGCCCTTCACAGATGCAAAGTAGGATTGAGAAGGAATTGATCAGCTGCTGGTCTGCCTTGTGCTCGATCCGTGCTTTGTTCGGCGACGCCACGACGTGACGCAGGGACTCGCACGGTTTCCGTGCTGGAGGGATGGTCGGCTTGGTTCAGGCGATCGGGCACGGGGCTTGCAGAACGCCAGAACCAGCTTTTTGGCCTGAAGTGATCGATAGAGTGTGAAGTTTGACGGACGGCCACCGTTCAATTAGGCCATCAAATCGATTGCTTGCCTGTTCCTATGCTTTCGAATTACCGGGATTAGCCGTAAGTCGAAGTCTTATGCGAACACACTGATTAGAATGATGTCAATGCGTGAATTGATCACTGCATGCATACTCATGATATGGGGTAGACCTGCCTTGGGGCACAATCGCCGCACATTTTTGCTGTCACGCATTGGGGTTAGGATTCGAAGTTTGGATAGCTATTAGCGTTACTACTAGTACTCGTTAAAGCACTGCACATATGTTGTGTGGCAAAGAATGAAATGGAATGAAGTGCGCTTTTATTGTTGCCTCATTCTTGCTGGAAGTGATCAGGTGAAAGGAAGCTAGAAGATCGTGTGAGTTTCGCTAGGTTCGCGCGGGGCCCAGTTAGAGTGAGTCCTCCGCATCCGTAGGAACGCCACCATCCTGCAACGATCAAAGTCTGCACCATCTTGAAATTGTGCCTATCAATCGAGACAACGTGACGACACGCACATGTACATGTACACTGCATATTGTTCTGCAGCAGCCCGCGGCGATAACTAGCACTCTTCAATGGAAGATATGACATGTACATGACTACTGTACTAGTAGTAGTACTGTTATTTCAATCAAATGAACCCCTCCATAGGCACATTGCCTTTGGGGCATTTCATAATAATAATAACAGTAATATGGATGGGTGCGTACAGTATATCAACCAGTCAAGTGCCACACTGTACAATTCGCTGAAGAGATCGTTCACCACTTTAATTAATAGATTGTGTGAAAACGCCAATTACAGTATATTTACACTGACAATCACAGAACATGGCATTACTGGCCTGGCGCGACTACTACTGGTAATGAAAACGCAAAACAAATTTATTTTTAAAGAAAAAGAAAATGAAACTTGACAATCTTGAATCTGCACACAATGACAATTCCTTTCATGATAGTCTCAGTGTTACCACCACACCAACACCAAGGTTGTCCAGCATTGAATACTCGATGAAGAACATCCCTCTGTCTACTGAGCGGACCTACAAGTTGAAACTGGTGGAGATGACTGAAAAGCTCATCAAGCGAATGAGATGGAGGCGGTTTTCTTTAACAGGGCAGTTGCCAGGAGGAAAATAAAAGTCAACAACAACAACTCAATACCACTGTCCCAATACCACGTCTTCACTTCGCACATATGCACTAACTTCCACACAAGCATCAAATATCTAGGCCTGCTCGTAGAGAATTCGATAGTGAATGCTGCTGTCTGATGATCGCTGAAATGCGTGAAACTTGAAGTTACAGCTAACACAGCCTTTCGCCTCTGTTATGTGTGTAGTCTCAGTGTTAGATAACTGTCTGTCTGCATCCGTCACCCAATTTAGCTACTTTACCAACAAACCGGGCTTCGGAAACAGGCACTGATAACCTTTGCCCTTTTCTCTTTTGCTCTTGCCACAGAACTACATGTAGTGTACGGGTAATTCCCACGAAGCGAACATACACACTGTACATTGTACATGTACTTCGAAGTACAATAATTATTATGTACATTGATTTGAGCGATATGTGTAGATCTACACTGTCTGTAAGACATTGAGATCTGTCATGCATCTCCACTGCACTTAGTCACCTGCATGCATACATGTACAATCATGTACATGTAGATCTGCGTAGTGTAAGGTGACATGAATGAGGCGGCGCGAGCACTCTCCTGTAAACAGATCCCGAGCATTGCGGGACTAAATACGGGCAGCAGACGGTGTTTTGCCCATATATGGTGCTCCTGGCGCTGATCTGCTACACGGATCCTGGACATGAGCATACCAGGTCCCAATTACAACCGCTGACAAACTTTCTCCTTTTCACCTCTTCAACGCTGCGTCTGGTGCTAGGTGATGTGAGCCCAGCAGACTTGGCCGGTTTGGCCGCATTTCTGCCAGGTCTCCACCTGTCCAACTCTACCTAGTACTTGTCAGCGCGCACGTCAACATCTGTCACCCTCACATGTCAACATGCACATGTTGGGGATTCTGGACAGCTACAGGGCTACGGATGCCTTTCGGGTGGCAAACTTTGAACTAAGCGACAGGCAAATGTTGGACTTTTGTCAGTTGTCGTGTGAACGTACACCGACCGTGGACGTGTTCTCCGAGGTCCATCGGTCCAAAAACTCATTGGCAATGGCTGCATTCGGCAATGTCTTCTTTCTATCTCTCTCGTTGTAGGTATCTGAAGACGCTAGTACTTCCCAATAACGGGGCCTTGCCCCCCCCCCCCCCATCCCGTGGTACAAAACTGCTGCAGGCCGAATTCATTTGATCCTGGGCGACGCACCGTTCAAAGAACTTCTAAAAATAAATAAAAAGGATCAGAGTGGCTGTGAATGGAAAGCCGCAAAGCACACACACACTACATGTATACATGTCTATCAATCACGTGGTTGGAAAGGCGTGTTGTGTCGTGGCACAGCGCCTGGGTGCATTCTGGGTGATCACGAGGCTATGGGCTATCGGTCACGAGAACGAGCGGCGCTGCAGTGTTGCGATGGTGTGATTCCAGCACGTGCTGCTCTGGTGCTCAGCTCAGGCGCATTGACTTGCTGCTCAACATTTCCAAACTTTCCAAAATACACTCGGAGATATATGTCCATGTATGGACGAGAGGCAACAAAGTCGAAGAAAATCAGGGCTATCAGTACGCTACTAATGAGGGGAAACCAAGCAGCAGGAGAACAAAATTTAATGGAAGAGGTATATTGATAGGAAAGGGACCTCGAGATCAGGACTCCATCACCATGGCCTAAGATACTTTAGGCGATCCTCAGTCACTGGTGGCGGTAGCTCAGATTCCCATAGCATAATTATTTAATTGAGGACCTTCATGTAAACTAGGATTACATGCACTCTCGCCGCTGTAGTCTTACTACTCATAATTCTATTCTTCCCCGTCTCTCTCTCTCTCTCTCTCTCTCTCTCTCTGTTATTCTCGCTCCTGATATTGGTCATGCTTGCCCGTTTGAACCTCAGAGTCGCGAATTAAAATAAACGCAACAACGACGTGTACTGGCCCAAGGTCCGGAGTAAAGTTGTTCGCAACTCGTCTGAGATTCGCTCCGGTTGATATCTCTGCTAAACCAAGATGGCCGTCACCTTCCAGGGCCAAGGTTTGATGACAGCTGTTGGTGCGATTGGATCCGAGGGCTGTAGTTATTGAATGACGAATTGGTGTTCACTTCCTTCTGTTCTCTGCCTTGGAGGAACGGGCATGCAAGGCAACGATAATGCCAGGTTTGCACACGAAAGCTATGCATGGATTTAATTTGGAGTAGCGCTGTGTTAGAAGTAAGACAGCACGAAGATCTTTGCAGCATCATGCCAGGATAAAAATTGACCGGCAAAAGATTGTTATTGTTGGCCAAATCAAAGCTGGTTAGAAGTTAGATAAATGTCAAAGGCTTTGAAAGTCAAAACATTCCAGGCGCGTGATACCCAACGAACGAACGAACAAAGAAACCAGTCTCTTTTCAGCCCACATTGCATGCTTATAGATTGTGACAGGGACGTCATTTTGTTGGTGGGACCATGGGGATCTCAATGCGGCGGTGATCGTCCAACCCAGTACATGACGGGGCGATCCCCGGGGCCGTGCGTTGCCAAGGAGATCACCTCAAAACGGTGCGCAATGTCACGACGATACGTAATTGGCTTTGTCATTGTTTGCTCCGTTCGCGAACACATGGCTGCAGTCACTACCCCACGCTGGGAAACAATATTGGACTAAAATGGACATTGTACTCCAATGACTAACTCATTAGCTTCTCGTGTTAGTCTGTCGCAGCTCGCTTACAGGTGAAGGGTGATTATAAATATTGCCTATGCATGGCTATATTGACGTAATACGACGAATAGACGCCATTCCGGACAATTTATCAAATCGAGAACTTCCAATCCTACCAGAGTAAAGTACTTCATGAAATTGATACGAACTGCGGATTCTGTATTGTTATGAAAATCTCCTGGAGCACCAGATGCTCGCAGGCCAAACAAACATCTCTTACGTCTGCGCAGGGTAAGGAATTTCAACGCTGGCTCCGCAGAGACACGGCATTCTCTGTGTCTAGTGACGGCTTCTATCTGCCTTTGTGCGAAACTGATTTGCTCTGAGCACGCGCATGCAGGCTCGTTTTAGTGATGAGGTGATTCTAGGTGAAGTCACGCCATATGGATTTGGGGACGTATCACGGCGGAGTTCTATTGTTAATCATAGTTTAAAATTTCATCCGGGTGTAAAGTCACTGGGTGAGTGTTAACCCTCAAGTGGAACAGACTTTGCAGCAGAAGTTCTTTTCAACCACAAAACGGCCTCCATGCGCCTAGCACCACGTACTGAAGTGCAAAGAACAATGTTCACAAGTAGAAGGGATTTTCTGGTGGCCGACAGCAATGCGTTTTTGACGAGGAGCCGCAGCCGCTCAGAATCTACAGCCCAGCTCAGCCTGCTGAAGTGGCCAGGAGACTGTGTTCCCTATAAATACCGCAAGGATGAGATTGAAAATTGGGCAGGCTTTTTCACGGCCAACGGAATAATAAATCGGTCGCACCTGTTTGTGTGTGTGTGTGCTCGGATGAACCTGGTCTTTAGCTCTTCATTGTGGGCACCCTACGGCGGGTATATGCATATTTCATTCAGTGAGCGCTTTCTCTTTGCCGTTCTAGTACGTACTTAGAGATTGGATCGTGGCGTCGGCCCATACACATCTCTGCTGCCCACTGTAGCGCTTTTCATTAGCCCAGGAACAACGCCAAAACCAGGCTTCGTGTCACAGGAACCCAACCGGGTTACGGGGTAAGGCGTAGGGGATCCACCCTCATTCCGCGTGTGCGTGTGCGCATAGCGTGGGGGGAATCGGAGAACCCACCGGCCCATGTTAGCGTTTTGTACATACCGGTCCGGGGGAATCCGAGACCCCGCCGGCAATATTGCAGGCCGCTGTGTGGCTGGCTGGCATTGCTGGACTGCGGATGTGCTGAGCATGTTCATTGCGTACCCGGGGTACCCAGAGCAGTATTCTGAGATCTGAAAGACTAACTTCAAGACCCCATTGGCAGGGGATGAGCCGTGGTCACACCCTGGCAGTGTGCACACGCGTCCATTAAGAACGCCGTTCTTTGTCGCTCTGAATTGTGTTTCTCGCCGCAGGTACAACAACCCATTACGCTGCAGCACATGTTGGAACACATGCAGCATATGTAACATTGTTGGAAAGCCCGTCCACTTCTCGCACGTTTTCAGCAATCCACTGAAGGTCTGACAGGCTCAGCAGCTATCAGGAATCGCCACCACAGGTATGTATCGGCACATGCGCAAGTCCATAATATACACAAAGGCAGAACTGACTTTTCCCTTAGCACATTATACGTTATACCAAGAGTAGATAAACAAGAGTGTGCAACTCCGCATGGGTTGGCCCACGGCGGAATTTTTTGTTGACGTAATCTTTTCGACGACGCACGCGCTGCGAGCCTTTTGGAGAGTTTTCCCTCGTGCACTTGGCTGGGCTTTACACTGCAAGGTCGGTGCCCAGCACGTGCTCTCACACTGCTCTGCGGCAAAGCCGCGTTTCTCTGAAAAAAGGTGACGTAAACAAAAAATTCCGCCGTGGGCGCGGGGTATCTGCAGATTGTGCAGGAGAGATCCGGAGTTGCACACTCTTGTTTATCTACTCTTGGTTATACCGGTAGTTCAGACGAAGTAGTCGGCAGCAAGTCCACATACGTGTACATGTAAATGCATTCATCTGGAATAATATTATTCCGTCTTCAAAAACAGCGGAAACACACAAGCATACACGGATTACATTAAATGCACACGCAAAAAATCGAATGAATACAGCGCGCTGAAACATAGAAATTATTATTGTCACGGATTCATTTCAACTGTTCTTGTATACTACCGGTATAGGTAGGAATCAAAAGTTCAAAACAGGCTTTAGTATAGGAATGCTGTTGAAACCGTACTCGTATGTCAAGCACCCCACAGACATTGTGTTGACGGGAACCGCTCTCCGCGGAGTCACCAAGTGCATTATGTACATGTACATGTACCGCCAAGAGCATAATATAATGTACATATAAGCCCCCATTGGGGGCTTACATACTCTTGGTAAGGAATTAGTACATGTCCGTCTGGATCTGTCCTGGTACATACCAGCCTGACATTTCTCAATACGTAGACCATAGGCTGAACGCCTGAGAGAAGTGTAGATCTACAGGTCGGCTAGCACCGTGGCTGCAGAGCGAGACTATAACAGAATGTGTTTACGACACTAGCGGCACTAGCGCACTGTCCAACACGTCAAGGCAAGTGCTCTGTGCTACCTTCCGCGGAGTCCTCCTTGGCGTGTCGCACGCTGCAGACCTCACACATTTCAGAACTTAGCACATTCTGTCCAGAAACTCACTGCACATTACAATGTGTCAGATCTGCGTGCTTGGACAGTGCCACCCATGGTGATATGGTCAGTATGGAACAATGCGGTCACCGTGTGCGGTCGACGTCTCACACTGCCCTGAAGGCCGTCAAAGCACGTTGTTGAAAAATCCACGATTACCGGAAAAATGAAGAGAAGAATCCAAAGTCAACGCATGCCATAGAAACTATAGGCAAGTCCGCAGTCAGTATTAGCAAAGCAGAACCCTGTTATACGATTATTGTACCCTACAGGCAGCAACAGTACAGCCACGGAGTAATACTGCAATGTACCACATCACTCCGGTTGCTGCCTTGGTCAGGCCATGGTCGTGACCTTCATTTTGTTACGGTCCTTCCGTTGTCTATAATTGTCCATACGATTCTGATTGTAGCGCCGCCTCCAGGTGTGTGGTGTCGGACGCATCACACAGATTACATGTAGACTATTCTACAACTCTTTGACCAGCACGAAGATTCCCTCAAAATGAGTCAAATTATTTCCACGCACATGATACATTTACATTGTACATGTATGCCTGAGTGATTCATTACCAGGTAATGAATCACTCAGGCAGCCCAGACTGAGAATGGGCTGCCACTAGGACCTTGCCTCACACGTCAACCGTCAGGAATTTTATGCAATCAATGAATGACTTCTGTTCCTTTATTAGTATCACCGATCTGAGTGAGCCGAGACTACGAGCGTTGGACAAACAATCCATGGAGAAAACTCTCAGCTTGAGCTGGTTTGGCTCGCGGCTGCAATGCACGGGGTAGTGAACCCAGGACAGAAGCGGACCAGGCGTCAAGACTTCTATCGTTAATTCGTTATGCTGCTTCATTACGCGACCAGTTTTCGTACTACACCGTATTTGATGTTCCTTTCTTACTGAAGCAGGCCTGAATGCCTATGAAAGGCCTGTGTTGGTCTGCAGTGGCATGCGTGTGCATCTGTACGGACGTCTGCCAGCATACCACGCACCAGGAGCAAAATAAACTCACTTCCTGACTTCGGACAAGGGTCTGGGAGTTTGGAGTCTGATCGTATCACGTGCCACTATAGCATACGGATTCACGCAGCCGGTGCTCTATCATCTATAACCCAGTTCATACGGGGGCCGTGATGCCAGGAAACGCCATCAGTCCAGAACCGACTACTGCACCAGTGATTGAGTGAGTCGTGTCCGCACCAGTGAACGGCTGAACGAACTCGCTTCCATTCAGTGCAATTGTTGTTCTGCGCAATCCGAGAATTTGTTGCGCAAATGCACAGGGCCACTACATGAATACGTTATGGGGACATGTCTTAAAAGGACTTTCAGGGCGCCTCTCATAGATGCGGGCTTCCTGCACGGCCAATAACGAAGGCCACACAGAATGAATTGGTAACGTATTCGCACAATTCTTGCTATTAATTTTGTCTACTCCTTCGCTGCTGTACGTGACCTCGCGGTTTTGAGTTCCAGGGACCATTGCGCTTGCTGGGGTCCATATCGCACAGACGACTACACTGTCTAAATAACTGACTACAGTCCAAGTGTCGTCACTTTTCACTGTGATTCTTTGGAGTGCGAGGTGGGAACTGTTACGGGTGGCATTACGCTTGGTTTCAAGACACCCACTCCGCAGAGTAGTGCAGCGCATATCCTGAGCAGTTCCATTGACGTATGAATGTTTCGTCGCATGATCACCCTCAGGTCTAAAACCTCCGCCCCAGGTATTGAGCAGTCAGCGCTGTATGAGAAGTACTAGTAGAAGACCGATTGGTATGGAGCAGTGGACGTCGCTCAAGTGTGACTTGCTGATCGCTGGTTGCTCGCAGCTTGAGCTTCAAATTGATGGATCAGATCAAACCCTAGCTACCGCCGGTACGCCCCATCCAACTTCTACGGTCAAAATGAATGAAAATCAAGAATCCTCAAGACCTCGGTTCGGAATAGGCTGCACAGCAGAAGATAACAAAAATCCTCCTGAGCTAGTCTCTCTGCCCAGCTCAGACCAGCTGAGCCTAGACGGTCTGTGGTTTCTGAACTGTCACCTGTGTCCTTGGCGTCTTTGACAAGCATGGTCCCTGATTAGAAACCGTAAAACAGACAGCGTTGCAGCACATGCCAGAGAAGAAGGGGGAGACGTGTATCGCACCATTGTCATTGGCACCGGGGGAAGCATGCAGGAGCGGAGAATTTACACGTGTTGTCGCCGACAGTTGCCAGCACAAAACAAGATCCTCCTACCTAGGACCGTACCTGAAGTGGAGTAGCTATGATGTTGTTGTGCCACCCTGTGCTGCGCGAACTCTGCATGCATGGCTTTGGGGATTATCACCATCACTCATCAGCACAGGCCGGCCGGCCTAGCACATGACCAAAATTCTGTATGGGTATGTCTCATGGTGGGCACGATCAGTAAGCTACACAGTGCTGGCCACTGAAATCCGACCCCCTGAGCGGTGCGCTCGCATCGCAAAGAATGTGAACCCACCGCTCAGGGGGTCGGATTTCAGTTGCCAGTCTGTGTACTTGCAGGCGTGCTTTGCAAGTGGTGGCTAGAGAGTTGCAGCGCACAATATGTACCTTTACTGTATTGCAAGTACATAATGCACACATGCCACAGGTCCACACCATCACCCCATACACATTGACATATCCACCTGTTCGGACGCTAAATGACTGATTATGATTGTAGACCATGCATTTCGGTACTATTCGTCATCGTAGTAAATACTGAGACAAATCGCAGATGCAGATACTGCGTAGCTAGGCATGCATAGTGAGTGCTGCCACTGAATCGTGCTGTTCACACAGAATCCCAGACACCTGGACACAGACTGCACTCAAAACTCTACAGTGTGCACACGATCATAAGCAAACTGGTGGCTCGGCTTCGCCACAGCACCCTATGCCCACCGGGGTGGATCTAGCCTGGAGCAACAATAGCTGGAGCAATTTGTCAGTTTGGGGATGGAACAGTGTGATTAGCTCGGCTGGCAATCCCGGACCGGGGCCACAAGCGCGAGTCAACACACAGCCTCTCCAGCAGAAAGCATTAGTACGAGAAGAAACCTGTTTAGCGCTGTTGTGCAGATATTATAGCGCTCAGATCGAATGTACAAAATGTGCAGCTCGACGACAGCGTCTAGGCTCTAGTCTAGGGTGTGAGCATGAAACGTATACCAGTACAGCCATGTATCAGTGTCGGAAGCGTTTGAATGGTGCTCAGTACCGAGATCTTGCCTACATGTAGATCTAGTGGCCACAAAGCGCAATGCCCGTTATGCGCCTGTGCGTGCGTGTATGTGTGTGTCTCCGCAGATTGACACTAGGAAGGCATCCAGAAGTATAGCAGCACGCTCAAGCCGCTGCACCCAGGACGCTGAGCAGGTGCTGCCTGAGTGAGAAAGCAGCGCTGTTTGACTTGCTCTAGGCTCTACCAATCAACTAGGCTGCATCAAGCCGGCATTCCGCTGTTGACAAACGCCACAAATATCACGTTGTGCCCTCGACAACAGACCAGGTCGCAGAGGACTCCTAAAAACGACGCGGTCTTGTCCGACAACGTCGCACCATCAGTGAGACATCAGAACTCGACAACCACCAAACCTGCAAGCGGGCGAGCCCATCTCTCCGGAGCGACTCTACGCACTCGGATTGGCGGCGCAGCTAGCGGGTACTGAGCGACTCAACTGTACCCGTAGATCTACCCGCACCTGTACGTGTCCCGGACCCTGGAAAACGTGCAGATTTCCACACTCTACTCTGTACACTGTCTGCCCGTACTTCGCATGCTCTCGCTGTCCAAGATAACAGAATCATTCCAGAGAAGTCGCCTAGACGCAACCAGGCCGATCACCAAGCTGAGCACGACGCGCGGCGGAAAACGGAGAAGATGATGTCCGCCATTGTCGGACATTGCCGGACGCAAGTGGCCGGCATGATACTCAACATTGTCCTCCTCCTGGTTCCCTTTTCAGTAATAGGTAAGTGTGTGTATGTATTGAGTGTTTCGGGGTCGGTCCTTCCTCTCCCTTGTACAAGTATCATGTCTGTACAGTGTGCCCTGAGCAAAAAATTATATGGACAGAGTCATTGTCTTCGTTCAAGGGAGCAGCGTGCCCTGCCCTAGCTAGCCCTGCCATGTCTTCTTGGCGCGCGCACCATTGACCCAGCGCTGAACTATTGACCTCTTAGCGCGCTCCTAGTGCCCAGGCGCGAGCGGAGTGTGAGCGAACGAACGATAGGTCAGCGCGCTACTACTAGGCGCTGTGCTGAGTCAGCCAAGGACGCGTGACCTCCTGTGACGAGGTGATTTTTTCAGTTTTGAGACGTTGTTCCGCGGCGCCCGACATGATGCAAACTCGGATTCGTATAATAGTCCTATTCAAGTGCAATACTTCTACGGCTTTGTTTCGTTGTTGTTGACGACAGCCTTCGTGTAGTTGGCGATCATAAGCTCCCCAGCTCCGCGGGCATTGTTATAATTTAGGGTGAAGTCGTTTCGTTTGGGAGCCTTCGGGCTATAACCTATCAAAGAGTATGCAATACGATGTGTCCAAAACTATAACGGAGCTCGTTTCAGCGAAGCATGGCTGAAAAAAGATCATACAGTTTATCAGCTAGTAGCAGGAGCCCATAACACCCCATGGACTCTTGCTAGTTATAGTAGTTGGGTGGGGTGGTTTTTTGTTTATCCATCTCAGTCTAATCTAGGGGTCAAACGGGTGTACCGGGTACCCGGGTACCCGCCCGTTAATCTCAGGTACCGTTAGTAAAAGGGTACCCGTTTGTAAAAAAAAAAAAAAAAAAAAAAAAAAAAGTGATCCTATCGTATTCCAAGACTCAAAATAGGAGTGCGGATACTCTTTTCCTTTTTCCTGTGCATTCCCGCTTTCGACTTTATCAGGCAGGAGCAGCCTGAAAGACAGACTTGACAGGTGTTCTCTCCAGTCTAGTGCAAGTAAAAATCCTCGTACTGGTCAGTGGAGGTTTTTGATTGTGATGTGAGAAAATGCAAGACTTGAAACTCGTTCGAGGTGGCAGCTGAGTAACTAGAAAGTTACGATGGTTCTCCGACATCGAACCTGCCACAGTACTTGATGAACTAGTGTCACCAGGCTGAGTGACCAGTCGGAGTGTCACAAACGGTGATGTCCGTAGGTGGTAGCTACATGTATGATACTCATGGTTGTAGTTTGTTCCTTCAATCGACGAGCTGAAAAGTAGTTCGAAATATTGCATACAAGATTACGGATTTGTGAAGATTCATTTCACGAGTTCAACAAGCTAGCACTAGCAGCTAGCTGGCCAGCAGCACATCAGCTGTGTCAGGCACCCCAGCTACCTATGGGCGCGAACATCTTCTGAATGCAACTAATACCAGTTCTCTGCGAACATAGCAAAATTTAATAGGATTGCGCGAGATCACGGAAGTTTTGCTAAACAACTCTGTCCTTGCATGGCTTGAATCACATCGATCTGCAGTTGATTTGCGTACATGTATCAAAATACATGATGTAGCTTGTAGGACCATCTACATGTACATGTACGATTGTAAGTTACTGTGAAGTTATGTACATGGGCAAATGCACGGATGACATTCATTTGGAACCTTCATTGCCATAATAATATTATGATACACGAATCAATTGCGAATCATAATGTAGTATCAAAATACAACCTGAGAATATACAAATTAAAATCATGATTTATGTGAGAAATGCGCAAAAAAATAATATGGCTGCTAAAGGGTACCCGTTAACCCGCCCGTTAAGAAAATTACCCGTTCGTTAGTTAAAGGTACACCCGTTTGACCCCTAGTCTAATCTCTCCACACAACTCTTGTGTGTGTGTGGGGGGGGGGGGGTATGTACGTGTTTTCGACTAGGATAAATGTAGGTGAAACTCTAAACTATGCAACTTTAACTGCAGCATGCAGCTAATGATGCAAGCAGTGGTGTGACCTGCATTGTGATTGTAAGGTTCTCAGTAGGTTCCGACTGTGTTCAAATTGCCGGCACGTTTCGCTGTACACCCTCGAGCGCTTGAAATAGGAATCCATAGCCTGAATGTGCTGGACATGGACTACACATAATTTTTTCCTTTCTCTTAAAAAAAATGTTTTACTGCCAGAAGTCGTCTTCATATAAGGAGGCAGATATGCCTGTTTGTTGTACGACTTTAAATAATCCAACCAAGCAATCAACCAACCAATTATATTCTAGTAGTACGACTGTTCAGGCGCCATGCAGCACTACAGTAAGAAGCCGTGTGCCCTCTGCTAACCTAAACCGGAATATTGTTAAACTGAATTCCATTAAAATTCTGCGTAGAGACCTAAATTTGGCCGCAGCACAAAACGTGACTAGGGGGCATTGATACATTGATAGCCTTCACGATCCAGGAAAGCGGTGCGTTCACACAGCTTCACACAGTGCTGCCCAATGAAATCCAGTCGCAGCGTCAATCAAGTACGTGCCGGGCGTTGCGCAGCCCTAGACCTGCGAACACTGGGCTGCGAAATGATGCAAGGCGCAAACTCGAGTGACGTGACTGGATTTCATTGAGCAGGATTGTACATCAGCATGATGCCATGAGTATAATTATGAGACCCAGAGTGTGGAGCTTGTGACGTTTTCGGAACGGCTGTCTGTCACGGCGGAATCCGCGATTACATCATATTTGGTGCAGATCTGAAGCGGGAAGTGGCGAAGTGCATACTACTGAGCTGCAGTTGTTCACAAAGAGATCTGGGTGAATCCTGCTTGTAGGCACTACATCACTAAAATGATGTAATCACGGAATTTCGCCTTGTTGTTGTTGTTTTATTATTATTATTATTATATATATTTGAGGATTTCCCAAAGACGTAGTCTAAATTGAAGGGAGTTCCATTATAATGGGAGGCTGTAGGGTGTTGTTGTCACCATCGCCACCCCTGCTGCTGTCGGTGATTGTTTTAATTTTGTCTTCTTCTGCATGCATCTTGGAACAGGGGCGCCGCTACAAGATACTCCCATCCGTCCGTACAAGCTATGTAATGAAGTAAGTCCGGTTGAAATCTACATGTATAACAATGATAAGGTAATGGAACACAGTGGGACCGCAGGAAGCAGCTTTCAATTGGTCCGGTCGTACCAAAGTCTTTTGTACTTTGTGTATAATATGGGGGGGTGACATACCCTCCTCCGCAGCAAACATGTGTTGATAGCCACGGAGTTGGTCCGGTGTTAACCTGACCAACCGGATCAATTCCGGCAGGCCTGGCACAAGCACTGCATGACTGGTTCTTGGCGAGTGGTGTTTGCACCCGCAGGCTTGGTTCAACTGCAGCGCACACATGCTGTGCAGCATAGCCTAGTGGTAAGAGTGTACATTTTATGTATGCTGCACCGGGGCGGATCCAGTGGGGGGGGGGGGGGGGGGGCTCTGGGGTTCTGCGGAACCCCCTAAATTTTGCAACTGTACTATTAGAAATTTTGCATCTGCGTGTATTAGCTAACGTAACGCAATTAACGTTGCTTCTGCTTCTGTGTCTGTCTTTGTTGTGCGTGTGTGCCACGGTGCGTGTGGGTCACGGTGTGTGTGGGTCACGGTGTGTGTGTGTGTTCGTGTGTGTGTGTGTGTGCATGTTCATGGTTTGTTGATATGTATTTGTTTGTGCATTGCAGTTACAGCAAGCCCAGCATGCGTGTGGCCCAAAACAGAGATGTGTAGCACACTATCAGGAGAATGCCGTCGAGCTTGAGTGCCATAATCCTGCAGGTATGTCAGCTCAAACACACCAAGCCATCAAACACACCAAGCCATCAAACACACCAAGCCATCAAACACATTAGCTTGTTCAGTGAAACCTGTCTAAGATGACCGCTCAAGGGACCTTCAAACCGTGGTCTCTGCTACCAGGTGGTCGCCTTATCCAGTGTCAATTGACTGGAAATAGCATCCCTAGGCCTTGGTTACAGTGGTCTTCTAGTACAGGTGGTCGCCTTGACAGGTTTTACTGTATAACCAGAATCAGCATGCTTTTCAATGTTGCACTGGTGTTTGGGGGAATTCCCTGGCATAGAGTGGGTTAAACCATGTCAGACTGTAGTCTTGAGCTGGGATGGATTCCCAGATAATCAGTGAAAGAGCTGTGATGCGACACTGAGACATTTTACGATCTGTGGGTGCATGTGTGTGTGTGTGTGTGTGTGTGTGTGCGTGTGCGCCGGTGTTTTTTTGGACCGTATTCTCTCCACTGCAGAGGCTGCACTAAAAATTCAATCTCGTCTCCATGGTGATGTGTTACACACGTAAGACAAGAATTATTGTTCCCGCCATTCTCTTTGAAACAGCACATTAACCAGTCTCCGGTCAGCCCCAGGGCCAGTGATCGGGTTCATCTCGTGCCCTGCAAACTACTAACAGTTTCCTTTGCACAGGTTGGCCTGTAAATGTCTGTAAATATAAAGTACGTACAGTAAAACCTGTAACTAAAGACCACCGTGACTAGCGACCAGCCTGGTACTACAGTAAAACCTGTAACTAAAGACCACCGTGACTAGCAACCAGCCTGGTACTACAGTAAAACCTGTAACTAAAGACCACCGTGACTAGCAACCAGCCTGGTACTACAGTAAAACCTGTAACTAAAGACCACCGTGACTAGCGACCAGCCTGGTACTACAGTAAAACCTGTAACTAAAGACCACCGTGACTAGCAACCAGCCTGGTACTACAGTAAAACCTGTAACTAAAGACCACCGTGACTAGCGACCAGCCTGGTACTACAGTAAAACCTGTAACTAAAGACCACCGTGACTAGCGACCAGCCTGGTACTACAGTAAAACCTGTAACTAAAGACCACCGTGACTAGCGACCAGCCTGGTACTACAGTAAAACCTGTAACTAAAGACCACCGTGACTAGCGACCAGCCTGGTACTACAGTAAAACCTGTAACTAAAGACCACCGTGACTAGCGACCAGCCTGGTACTACAGTAAAACCTGTAACTAAAGACCACCGTGACTAGCGACCAGCCTGGTACTACAGTAAAACCTGTAACTAAAGACCACCGTGACTAGCGACCAGCCTGGTACTACAGTAAAACCTGTAACTAAAGACCACCGTGACTAGCGACCAGCCTGGTACTACAGTGAAACCTGTAACTAAAGACCACCGTGACTAGCAACCAGCCTGGTACTACAGTAAAACCTGTAACTAAAGACCACCGTGACTAGCAACCAGCCTGGTACTACAGTAAAACCTGTAACTAAAGACCACCGTGACTAGCGACCAGCCTGGTACTACAGTAAAACCTGTAACTAAAGACCACCGTGACTAGCGACCAGCCTGGTACTACAGTAAAACCTGTAACTAAAGACCACCGTGACTAGCGACCAGCCTGGTACTACAGTGAAACCTGTAACTAAAGACCACCGTGACTAGCGACCAGCCTGGTACTACAGTAAAACCTGTAACTAAAGACCACCGTGACTAGCAACCAGCCTGGTACTACAGTAAAACCTGTAACTAAAGACCACCGTGACTAGCGACCAGCCTGGTACTACAGTAAAACCTGTAAGTAAAGACCACCGTGACTAGCGACCAGCCTGGTACTACAGTAAAACCTGTAACTAAAGACCACCGTGACTAGCGACCAGCCTGGTACTACAGTAAAACCTGTAACTAAAGACCACCGTGACTAGCGACCAGCCTGGTACTACAGTGAAACCTGTAACTAAAGACCACCGTGACTAGCGACCAGCCTGGTACTACAGTAAAACCTGTAACTAAAGACCACCGTGACTAGCAACCAGCCTGGTACTACAGTAAAACCTGTAACTAAAGACCACCGTGACTAGCGACCAGCCTGGTACTACAGTAAAACCTGTAAGTAAAGACCACCGTGACTAGCGACCAGCCTGGTACTACAGTAAAACCTGTAACTAAAGACCACCGTGACTAGCGACCAGCCTGGTACTACAGTAAAACCTGTAACTAAAGACCACCGTGACTAGCGACCAGCCTGGTACTACAGTGAAACCTGTAACTAAAGACCACCGTGACTAGCGACCAGCCTGGTACTACAGTAAAACCTGTAACTAAAGACCACCGTGACTAGCAACCAGCCTGGTACTACAGTAAAACCTGTAACTAAAGACCACCGTGACTAGCGACCAGCCTGGTACTACAGTAAAACCTGTAACTAAAGACCACCGTGACTAGCGACCAGCCTGGTACTACAGTAAAACCTGTAACTAAAGACCACCGTGACTAGCGACCAGCCTGGTACTACAGTGAAACCTGTAACTAAAGACCACCGTGACTAGCGACCAGCCTGGTACTACAGTAAAACCTGTAACTAAAGACCACCGTGACTAGCAACCAGCCTGGTACTACAGTAAAACCTGTAACTAAAGACCACCGTGACTAGCGACCAGCCTGGTACTACAGTAAAACCTGTAAGTAAAGACCACCGTGACTAGCGACCAGCCTGGTACTACAGTAAAACCTGTAACTAAAGACCACCGTGACTAGCGACCAGCCTGGTACTACAGTAAAACCTGTAACTAAAGACCACCGTGACTAGCGACCAGCCTGGTACTACAGTAAAACCTGTAACTAAAGACCACCGTGACTAGCGACCAGCCTGGTACTACAGTGAAACCTGTAACTAAAGACCACCGTGACTAGCGACCAGCCTGGTACTACAGTAAAACCTGTAACTAAAGACCACCGTGACTAGCGACCAGCCTGGTACTACAGTAAAACCTGTAACTAAAGACCACCGTGACTAGCGACCAGCCTGGTACTACAGTAAAACCTGTAACTAAAGACCACCGTGACTAGCGACCAGCCTGGTACTACAGTAAAACCTGTAACTAAAGACCACCGTGACTAGCGACCAGCCTGGTACTACAGTAAAACCTGTAACTAAAGACCACCGTGACTAGCGACCAGCCTGGTACTACAGTAAAACCTGTAACTAAAGACCACCGTGACTAGCGACCAGCCTGGTACTACAGTAAAACCTGTAACTAAAGACCACCGTGACTAGCGACCAGCCTGGTACTACAGTAAAACCTGTAACTAAAGACCACCGTGACTAGCGACCAGCCTGGTACTACAGTGAAACCTGTAACTAAAGACCACCGTGACTAGCAACCAGCCTGGTACTACAGTAAAACCTGTAACTAAAGACCACCGTGACTAGCAACCAGCCTGGTACTACAGTAAAACCTGTAACTAAAGACCACCGTGACTAGCGACCAGCCTGGTACTACAGTAAAACCTGTAACTAAAGACCACCGTGACTAGCGACCAGCCTGGTACTACAGTAAAACCTGTAACTAAAGACCACCGTGACTAGCGACCAGCCTGGTACTACAGTGAAACCTGTAACTAAAGACCACCGTGACTAGCGACCAGCCTGGTACTACAGTAAAACCTGTAACTAAAGACCACCGTGACTAGCAACCAGCCTGGTACTACAGTAAAACCTGTAACTAAAGACCACCGTGACTAGCGACCAGCCTGGTACTACAGTAAAACCTGTAACTAAAGACCACCGTGACTAGCGACCAGCCTGGTACTACAGTAAAACCTGTAACTAAAGACCACCGTGACTAGCGACCAGCCTGGTACTACAGTGAAACCTGTAACTAAAGACCACCGTGACTAGCGACCAGCCTGGTACTACAGTAAAACCTGTAACTAAAGACCACCGTGACTAGCAACCAGCCTGGTACTACAGTAAAACCTGTAACTAAAGACCACCGTGACTAGCGACCAGCCTGGTACTACAGTAAAACCTGTAAGTAAAGACCACCGTGACTAGCGACCAGCCTGGTACTACAGTAAAACCTGTAACTAAAGACCACCGTGACTAGCGACCAGCCTGGTACTACAGTAAAACCTGTAACTAAAGACCACCGTGACTAGCGACCAGCCTGGTACTACAGTGAAACCTGTAACTAAAGACCACCGTGACTAGCGACCAGCCTGGTACTACAGTAAAACCTGTAACTAAAGACCACCGTGACTAGCAACCAGCCTGGTACTACAGTAAAACCTGTAACTAAAGACCACCGTGACTAGCGACCAGCCTGGTACTACAGTAAAACCTGTAACTAAAGACCACCGTGACTAGCGACCAGCCTGGTACTACAGTAAAACCTGTAACTAAAGACCACCGTGACTAGCGACCAGCCTGGTACTACAGTAAAACCTGTAACTAAAGACCACCGTGACTAGCGACCAGCCTGGTACTACAGTGAAACCTGTAACTAAAGACCACCGTGACTAGCGACCAGCCTGGTACTACAGTAAAACCTGTAACTAAAGACCACCGTGACTAGCAACCAGCCTGGTACTACAGTAAAACCTGTAACTAAAGACCACCGTGACTAGCGACCAGCCTGGTACTACAGTAAAACCTGTAAGTAAAGACCACCGTGACTAGCGACCAGCCTGGTACTACAGTAAAACCTGTAACTAAAGACCACCGTGACTAGCGACCAGCCTGGTACTACAGTAAAACCTGTAACTAAAGACCACCGTGACTAGCGACCAGCCTGGTACTACAGTAAAACCTGTAACTAAAGACCACCGTGACTAGCGACCAGCCTGGTACTACAGTGAAACCTGTAACTAAAGACCACCGTGACTAGCGACCAGCCTGGTACTACAGTAAAACCTGTAACTAAAGACCACCGTGACTAGCAACCAGCCTGGTACTACAGTAAAACCTGTAACTAAAGACCACCGTGACTAGCGACCAGCCTGGTACTACAGTAAAACCTGTAAGTAAAGACCACCGTGACTAGCGACCAGCCTGGTACTACAGTAAAACCTGTAACTAAAGACCACCGTGACTAGCGACCAGCCTGGTACTACAGTAAAACCTGTAACTAAAGACCACCGTGACTAGCGACCAGCCTGGTACTACAGTGAAACCTGTAACTAAAGACCACCGTGACTAGCGACCAGCCTGGTACTACAGTAAAACCTGTAACTAAAGACCACCGTGACTAGCAACCAGCCTGGTACTACAGTAAAACCTGTAACTAAAGACCACCGTGACTAGCGACCAGCCTGGTACTACAGTAAAACCTGTAAGTAAAGACCACCGTGACTAGCGACCAGCCTGGTACTACAGTAAAACCTGTAACTAAAGACCACCGTGACTAGCGACCAGCCTGGTACTACAGTAAAACCTGTAACTAAAGACCACCGTGACTAGCGACCAGCCTGGTACTACAGTGAAACCTGTAACTAAAGACCACCGTGACTAGCGACCAGCCTGGTACTACAGTAAAACCTGTAACTAAAGACCACCGTGACTAGCAACCAGCCTGGTACTACAGTAAAACCTGTAACTAAAGACCACCGTGACTAGCGACCAGCCTGGTACTACAGTAAAACCTGTAACTAAAGACCACCGTGACTAGCGACCAGCCTGGTACTACAGTAAAACCTGTAACTAAAGACCACCGTGACTAGCGACCAGCCTGGTACTACAGTGAAACCTGTAACTAAAGACCACCGTGACTAGCGACCAGCCTGGTACTACAGTAAAACCTGTAACTAAAGACCACCGTGACTAGCAACCAGCCTGGTACTACAGTAAAACCTGTAACTAAAGACCACCGTGACTAGCGACCAGCCTGGTACTACAGTAAAACCTGTAAGTAAAGACCACCGTGACTAGCGACCAGCCTGGTACTACAGTAAAACCTGTAACTAAAGACCACCGTGACTAGCGACCAGCCTGGTACTACAGTAAAACCTGTAACTAAAGACCACCGTGACTAGCGACCAGCCTGGTACTACAGTGAAACCTGTAACTAAAGACCACCGTGACTAGCGACCAGCCTGGTACTACAGTAAAACCTGTAACTAAAGACCACCGTGACTAGCAACCAGCCTGGTACTACAGTAAAACCTGTAACTAAAGACCACCGTGACTAGCGACCAGCCTGGTACTACAGTAAAACCTGTAAGTAAAGACCACCGTGACTAGCGACCAGCCTGGTACTACAGTAAAACCTGTAACTAAAGACCACCGTGACTAGCGACCAGCCTGGTACTACAGTAAAACCTGTAACTAAAGACCACCGTGACTAGCGACCAGCCTGGTACTACAGTGAAACCTGTAACTAAAGACCACCGTGACTAGCGACCAGCCTGGTACTACAGTAAAACCTGTAACTAAAGACCACCGTGACTAGCAACCAGCCTGGTACTACAGTAAAACCTGTAACTAAAGACCACCGTGACTAGCGACCAGCCTGGTACTACAGTAAAACCTGTAACTAAAGACCACCGTGACTAGCGACCAGCCTGGTACTACAGTAAAACCTGTAACTAAAGACCACCGTGACTAGCGACCAGCCTGGTACTACAGTAAAACCTGTAACTAAAGACCACCGTGACTAGCGACCAGCCTGGTACTACAGTGAAACCTGTAACTAAAGACCACCGTGACTAGCGACCAGCCTGGTACTACAGTAAAACCTGTAACTAAAGACCACCGTGACTAGCAACCAGCCTGGTACTACAGTAAAACCTGTAACTAAAGACCACCGTGACTAGCGACCAGCCTGGTACTACAGTAAAACCTGTAAGTAAAGACCACCGTGACTAGCGACCAGCCTGGTACTACAGTAAAACCTGTAACTAAAGACCACCGTGACTAGCGACCAGCCTGGTACTACAGTAAAACCTGTAACTAAAGACCACCGTGACTAGCGACCAGCCTGGTACTACAGTGAAACCTGTAACTAAAGACCACCGTGACTAGCGACCAGCCTGGTACTACAGTAAAACCTGTAACTAAAGACCACCGTGACTAGCAACCAGCCTGGTACTACAGTAAAACCTGTAACTAAAGACCACCGTGACTAGCGACCAGCCTGGTACTACAGTAAAACCTGTAAGTAAAGACCACCGTGACTAGCGACCAGCCTGGTACTACAGTAAAACCTGTAACTAAAGACCACCGTGACTAGCGACCAGCCTGGTACTACAGTAAAACCTGTAACTAAAGACCACCGTGACTAGCGACCAGCCTGGTACTACAGTGAAACCTGTAACTAAAGACCACCGTGACTAGCGACCAGCCTGGTACTACAGTAAAACCTGTAACTAAAGACCACCGTGACTAGCAACCAGCCTGGTACTACAGTAAAACCTGTAACTAAAGACCACCGTGACTAGCGACCAGCCTGGTACTACAGTAAAACCTGTAAGTAAAGACCACCGTGACTAGCGACCAGCCTGGTACTACAGTAAAACCTGTAACTAAAGACCACCGTGACTAGCGACCAGCCTGGTACTACAGTAAAACCTGTGACTAAAGACCACCGTGACTAGCGACCAGCCTGGTACTACAGTAAAACCTGTAAGTAAAGACCACCGTGACTAGCGACCAGCCTGGTACTACAGTAAAACCTGTAACTAAAGACCACCGTGACTAGCAACCAGCCTGGTACTACAGTAAAACCTGTGACTAAAGACCACCGTGACTAGCGACCAGCCTGCTACTATCTGAGACCACTTTGACAGGCACGGACGGTCTCACATTCATGTATGGTTGTGCGGTGCAAACCTCTAACTAAGGACCACCTGCCACTAAAGACCGCTTTCTCTGGCCCCGAGAGGTGGTCGCTAGTCACAGATTTTACTGTGCTTTCAGGTGGATACTAACTTTCGGGCACGGACTGACTTTCCGACCTGACCTGTGTGTAGTGGAGAAGTCATTTTTCATATATGTAAATTCTATGTGCTGCATGTGCGAACCGTACAATTGCATATTTCGGGCAGTGTGTTAATCGAGCTCAGCTTGACTTCAACCGACAGAGTCAAATAAATTTTAGGGATATTTATTTCGGGCAGTGTATTTATTGACTCAGATGGAGAGCCAAGGTTTTATTTATACTAAAGAGAAAGACTGTTGGAGTGCGCATCCAAGATGTGCTAGAGCTGTTAGCCAGTTAGTTGTAGAATGTCAGTACCGTCGGTCAGTGTCGTGCAATGTTATCGCATGAACTGATTGTTTAGTAACTGGTGGTGTTAGTGGACAGTATAGCGTAACTTGTAGTTCCTTGGTCCTTTCTCTTTTGTATAAGTGTATTTATTTACGGGCTTTTTCGGTGCATTGCACGCGAAACCAAGAGTGGTGACTCAGCCTTTTCTTCATTGCTCTTTTGTCTTCTGTTTTCACCTTTAGTCTGACGTTGAACGGGGTATTTGAAAAGCGCAAGCAGGCCGACAGACCAACTCCGGCGCCGATAGTGGACAGCCCGAGAGCTCTGCTGAACTTCCGACGAAATAGGGCTAGAGACGCATGCAAGTGTCAGACGGGTGTACTGCACCAAGTCGGCGAAACGCCCAAACTGCGCAAAGTCTGTCAGTCAGATTTCGGTAAGTGAATTCTTATTTTTTTATACAATGCAACTAGGGGTGAAACAATTATACCGAATACTCGAGTACTCGCTCGGTTTTTTCAAAAATAATCGTACTCGGAATAAATCAGAGTACTCGTTCATACATGGTACATGCATTTACCACAGAAATCTGCAGTTTCAGAGCAGCAGTCGGCAGATATTGATGTGCAGACTGTGTGATTAACATTTGTTCACCAGTAGAGAGAGCCCAAATGACCCGCCAACCAATACACTCGAGAAAAATGACTGCCACTCGGTTCAATCAGGGTTGTATCATGTAATTTTAAGGCCCTTGGTGTGCAATTTTTAGGAGATGAAGAATACTCGAATACTCGAATATTCGATCGGAGAAAATCAGAGTACTCGAACTCGGGATCTCAGTGCCAACTTTCACCCCTAAATGCAACACAATATTGTTCACAACAATAACAAGAGACAGGAGGAAGGCTTGGCAGTATTGGACATACAGTTATGCACCACTACTCAAAAACGGTCTCTTGGCTAAAAATTCTTCCAAGAACATCCGAGTTTCAAGAAAAATAATATTATTTTTGGAAGAATTTTTAGCGAAGAGACTGTTTTTGAGTAGCGGTGCTTAACTGTGTGAGTACTGAACATAGCCTGTAAATTTTAAAGGGGAAGTATACCCTAAAATCAAAAAAATTCACCAGTTGTAATCTTCGGGGTGCTGAGTCGAATGGTCTTGGTCCGAGGAAGCTGAGACGTTCCCTTCCTTCTTTATTCCCAATCGAACTCGCGCACTTCCACCAAAACTGGGTGACTGCACCCTACTAGATGGGGATTTGTATGCAAAAGTCACTAAAAGCGTCTTTTCCTTCTTATAAAAGCACGGATGACCGCGATTGGCCCATATGTTGTAGTCTTTTGGACGCTGAGTCGACTGGTTTTGCTCCGAAAAGGCTGCGAATCAGCGTTCAGCCCATATTCCCAATTGAGCACGGATGAGTAGGCGGTCACGTGCTCATGCGTACACCAGTCACCTGGTGACCATGCCTGCAGGCTTCAACTTTTACAGCGTTCCTGTCACTGGAGTTGAACCTTTGAACCTTTGAGTTGAACCTTAGTGTCTCTCGAACCTTGTTCTCATTTCAGACCAAGTCTTAGAGGAGTGATCTGTGTCGGCTTTCTTGCTGCTGTCAGTAGCCCATACTGACCAACCACCAAAATCTCAATCCCTTGACAAGACATGCAAAATCCCTGGATTTCTCTCAAAATCCCTGGATGGCACAAAAACAAGTTAAAAAGAGCTTTTCCCGCCAAAAAAAAAACGTTCGACTCTTCAGATCTGAGTACAGCACATGCACAGTTCGACCCGGGTACCCTGCAGTGCAGTTCGATCAGTCGGCACCCGGATGTCAGTGGAGATGATCTTGCTGGTCATGTCTTGAAAGTACCCTGCACAGTTCGAAGTGCGAGTGAGCATCGTGATTTTTTTTGAAAAACCGGGACATTCAAGGCGAATCCATGGAGGTTTCAAGAAAATCCTGTACCAGACAAAACTGTGACTTTTCCGGGAGTTTGCTTGAAATCCCCGGGACCCCGGGAGTAGTGCTGATTTCCCGGGATTTTCCCTGGAAAACCGGGAGGGTTGGCCAGTACGGTAGCCACGCATGTGGATATCATGGTCTCACTCACATGCGTGTACCAAACACACCGGCACACACACCTATATATACGCTTACACACACTCCTGCACACTCCTGCACACATACTCGCACACACATACACGTTCTCACGCACCTTTTTTCTCTTTCTCTCTCTCTCTCTCTCTCTCTCTCTCTCTCTCCTTGTCTCTCTCTCTCTCTCTCTCTCTCTCTCTTTCTCTATCTATCTTTCTTCCTTTCTTCCTTTCTTCCTTTATCTCTCTCTCTCTCCCTGTCTCCCTCACACACACACACACGTACGCACACACACACACACACACACACACACACACACACACACACACACACACACACACACACACACACACACACACACACACACACACACACACACACACAACACACACACATACATACACACACTCTCTCTCACACACACACAAACACCTCACTGCGGAACAAACATATGTATGCGTATGTGCGTGTGATTGTTTGTGTGTCTGTACACTCAGTTCTTCTGGCCGCTGTGAATACAACCAGCAGTGTCGGGTTTGGCGTGACCATACAGACGGTGTTCCGTATCTCTCGTGTGGCAGTATCCGTGCTGCCCGACCACCTTACACAGCTGTCTATCCAGGGCAATATCAACCTCAACCATCGGACAGCTAGTGAGTGGCTTCACATGATGTCATGCCCATCCTGTTATTATGCTGCCTATCCCCCCCCCCCCCCCCCCCCCCGTCTTCAACAGATCCCTTTACTGCCAAGTCCCCAGCATGCCTGGCAAAACCTACCTGCTTCTTGCTCAAGGCCATTACAGCCACTGCCTTTCAGCCACCAGTGTATGTACACACTCAGATGGATTTCAGATGTGCACTCAAAATCCTGAGCACAATTTTTTTGAAAACGGTTGTGGTATAGTCGTTCGAAACAGGACCCTGATACTTCCTCTGCCACTAACCCTACAGGCGTGTAAGACGCTGATTGTCTATCTCTCATCGGCATGGGTGGTGTATGTCCTTTGGTGGAGAACAGCCCGTCCAGTCCAGTGCTGTGTGATGATCGTTCAAAAAGTGTAAATCCCTGGGTGCTAACACAAATCGATATTCTCCTTTCCCTGCACCTGTTATCCCAAGAGAGTAGTTGGGTGGACACACCCATTCCCACAGCACTGCAAACGAACCGATTCCTTTTACATAAAACGTTTCGGCAAAATTGCCATCGTCAGGTACGAAATGAAACAATGATTGATGATTGATCGTTGTACTCGGTACGTAAAAGGAATCGGTTCGGTTTGCAGTGCTGTGGGAATGGGTGTGCCCACCCAACTACTCTCTACGGATGAAGCTGCAGGATGCCTCACAATTACTTCTCACCGTTATCCGAAAGCACTATAAAGGCCTCACTTGTAGTGAATAGAAAATCATAAAATTGAACCAGGCACACACAGAAAGTTCATCAGTTGTGCAATTATTTTGCACCAAACCCCACTATACCCCCATAGAGTGGTATTGAACCTGCCACGCCGTGCTGCAGTAGAATAGGAAAAGAGAGTAAGTTATTGTGTCAGTTTCCGAGGGGAACTCACGGCGCTCCCTAACACGTAAACCCAGCGGCAGTTGCAGCTCCTAACGGTGGGGGTGAGTGGATAAGTCTCACGACTCAGGGGAGTCGGACCCGCTACGGTAACTACGGTATTGACGGTACCTGTTTTTGCCCCCAGGACTGTGTTCATCCCAGCATCATTCAGCACCATTGAACGGAGAAAGAAATCATTGCTCTCGTGTCTGTGTCTGTGTCCGCTGCCAGGTCGTGCGTGTCAATGTAACATTTTGGAATCCGGTCGCCAGTACCTGTTCATGGGCCAGGACGACGGCGTGCTGGGAAACCTCATCATCGACGCGTCGTCCGCCATCTACCCCTGGACGGGCGCCATAGCAACGCATATTCAGCACAGCGCTCGCCGTTGCTTCAAGCTACGCTGGCTGGAAAAGCAGTACAACGCGACACGCGATGGTACAGCCTGATGCAGCCAGTCGCGATGGCCGGTTGGTCGGACAAGTCGGAGAAGGACAACGATGTGCACGGATAAACATGGTTGTAGAAGTGAGGGTAGCCCTGCCCTTCGCAGCCTGGCACCATATCGTACACCCCGGCGATCGGCCGTGAGGTTGATAGTGCGGGTGACAGTTTGGAGAAGGACACTCTTCACAACGGCAATGCCTGCTAGCAGTAGTTGTCAGACACTTCGGAGTGGGATTGCATGTATGACCATGCTGATGAAGCATGGTGTATGATTCATTGGACATTGACTGGATGGGAGACTGAACATCGCTTCACTTATTCTCACCTCATCACGCTCCTGCATGCCAACGCTCGGAGCCTCTTCAAAAGCATTATCATTTCACGGCCATTGGCCCCACAGTGCGTTCGTCTCAAATCGCAGAATTATTTTTTTGAATCCAGGGCATGGTGATCTGTTGAATCAACGACTGAAAAATATGAATTCATGATTTCTCTGTACATGCCTGTATTGATATTCTATTATATACCCTCCCTCCCCCACCCCCCCTTGAATAACCTAGGGTCTATCGGCCATATCGGGTCAGTTCTGTTTCTTTTACCAGGATTTTCAGCTTGAAGTGCATTCTTATCTACCGGTTTTAGAAATCTTTCCACCCGACTTTGAGAATTCCTCGAACCGTAACATGCAAACTATTATATACGCACTTGTGTTCGGATCCGATGCCGTGCGCGATGTGCCTCGTGTGTAGTGTCATGCTTGCGTGAGGGCATTGGGAAGTAGTACGTGGTCCTTGGTGGTTGATGCCGACAGAAATAGTGACAGAATTTCGTACTTTCTCACCTCACGTATGTTTCATGCATGTTTGGTATGTGGATACGGGAAGGGATCGGAATTCAAGGAAATGCCTGCCATAAAGGTTTGGTACTGTATGGTTCTGCGAAGTTCACTGCTTGTCGAGCTGAATCTGCAAATCTTTCGAGCATTTTATCCACCAAGGGCTAGGTGGTGCTCAGGGTTGTCATTCAGCCTGCTCTCCTCTCCGTCTGGCATCATGTGTGCTCAGCATGATGTCGCGTCTGGGTGGAGCCGAGAGAGATTGAGTACGTATAGCCATGATCTGGTGCTGCAGTAAAACCTGTAACTAAAGACCACCGTGATCAGCGACCAGCCTGGTTCTGCAGACCACTGCACCAGGCACGGACGGTCTCACATTCATATTAATATGGTTGTGCGGTGCAAACCTTTAACTAAGGACCACCTGCCACTAAAGACCGCTTTCTCTGGCCCCTCAAGGGGTGGTCGCTAATCACAGGTTTTACTGTACATGACCGTATGATAATGAGTTGACCTGGGGTATAACTAACAGTCGCGAATAATGACACAATATTCAGACGTATTTGGAATTTGCACCTTTCAGGGTCGCTATCCGCAAGGTTACCAGCAGATTTAATGTGCTGTTTCTCAGTTATTGAATGCTATCGGCGCTAACAGGCAATTCCGCTGGCATTTTTTGTAAAGAAGTTCACAACCCTAGTAGCTGCCTGGAGATTACAATTAAAAAATTAAAAAAATGTCACGGTTCGCGTGAGACTCGGCTGGAAACCGAATTTTCCGCATCCGTAGGAACGCCACCACCCTTCAGGGATCAAGGCGCAGATGCAGCTCCTAAAGCGGTGGTAGGTGAGTAGATCAGCTGACCAGCAAGTGGTCAAAAACCAAAAATCCCATTCACTGCATCCATGTTTTCCTCGACAATAAGCACATTGCTAATATTGTGTTTCCCTAGTCTTGTTGTTAACCCCGTCCCACCACAAACAGGCGTGTTTTCAGTGCCGGTAACTATCGACTTGTTGACCAATGGCATACGAGTCGCACAGCGCTGTAGTGAACGGAGTAACGCTTAGTTATCACGTGGCTGTTGTCAGTCAATGTTTACAGCTGTTTTGTTACATACATTCCATCACTACCAGGAACTCCATACTCTATAGTGGTATACTCAGTACTGCTAACGACTAACGCCACGGGCAGGAGAACGGTGATCTTGTTACGCCATGATGTCAGTGAATTGCCTATGTTTTGTTTTGCTTGGCTTGTGTAAGGTTGCACTCAACAACAACAGCAATGCTTGGCTTGTGTAAGGTTGCACTCAATAACAACAACAATGTTTTGAAGGTGGTTGTCAAGGAAAACCTGGGGTCGAAAGTCAGCTCCTGAAGTGTTTGCATCATCCAGAGAAGGGTACTATCATTTTCACGGCTTGATGTTGTTTGTGTGATGTTGTTTTGAACGCTCTCTTGCTGCACGCCAATCTGATGTACCTTCACATTATTCGCTCAGAGCTCGGTTCATGCTGAAGAGCTAGTGTCACGTAACCGTTGATGCTGTTGTTGTTGTCACTGAAGATTGTCTCCGGGGTGCAGTAACTACATCATTACACTAACTTCGCTATGACGTCATGTAGTAGCTCGCACTGGGAAACTGTTGACTGCTGTTGAGTTGGCGTGTCCTTTTTGCAGCTCCTGTACTGGTGCATATTTGTCATCATAGTACATGTACCACGCACATCACCAGGAGTATAATTGTAAGCTCCCAGGGTATTTACTCTTGATACCACCGAGCTGCGTGCGTCAACCAGTCAACAATAGCAGTGGGCGTCTTATCTCTCTTCCATCTATTTACCGTCACCGCGCTCTGCTCGTGACAGATTCATGAAAACAAGCGTCTGTCCGCGCTCCAATCCCAAACTGCCTGAAAAGGTACCGTTGGCACGGAGCTGGCCTGTGCGGAATGCGGACGTCGCGGGATATGAACGCTCATCGCTGGCGCAGACAGACAAGGCGCGGAGACCGTAATGGAAGCAGCCGGTGCCAGTGGGATGTGTAGACATACTTTCCTGGGCCCTGAATGATATGTAGCCTGTCCTGCCTGTAGGGCCATCCGCGCTGGGGCTCTGGGCCGTTGGCAAACAAAACAATCCACTTGTCGACTGTCGACTCTTCTTGTTTTCTGGCGTCGGTGGCAAAAACGAGCCTTTTATGTCCCGTGCGTCAACAACGCGCCTGTCATTTTTGTTTCATCGCCAAGCCGTGGCAGAATCAACACTGTCACGATGGATGCTTTTCCCCAACAAGAACATCGCGTGGATATGCGTTGTAGACGTACACGACCGTACGATTGTGCTGTACTGTAGTGCTTTTAGGGAGGTGCAGCAGCAATGCCAGCACTCGCCAGCATCCCCCCACGTTTGCCGCCTTGTTATAGTACATGTACCTACACTGGGAAAGGATGGAATTCCCTTTAGAGATCGGCTTATGCACCTCTAAAGTCCCTGGCGCAGTGATGCCAGTCCGTAGCTGGCCACGACTACTGTCTCCGGGCTGCGGCAAGGCCAACGCTCTGGCTTGACCATGACGCGCGTTTATTGGCAGCGAGTTGGTTGGTTGGTTCCATGGTATAATTATTACAATTTACGTGGCCAGAACGAACTTGCATTGCTGCTTTCATGCGTGGACAAGTGAACTGTCTAAGCTCTCACAGAATGACGAATGGGCAGGAAAGTCTGACGCACACAAGTGCAAGCTAGGGTTTGTGTGTTGGCGTCAGTGGACTACCAGTGCTGCGGAACCTCAGTCTCCGGCCGCCTTGCTGGATCACTTTTGCTCGGCCACGAGTTCTCGCCGAACGTGGCACGGGCCGGTGCATACATCTACATAACATTTCAAGCCTGGTCAGTGGTCTCCGGCCACATCTGAGTTCCATTGAAAAGCCATGTCGTGGGTCCGACTCCGTCACTCGGGCAGCAATTCCCCTGCGAACAGAAGTACAGTAAAACCTGTGACTAGCGACCACTCATTGGGGCCAGAGAAAGCGGTCTTTAGTGGCAGATGGTCCTTAGTTAGAGGTTTGCACCGCACAACCGTACATGAATGTGAGACTGTCCGTGCCTGGCGAATTGGTCGGTAGTACCAGGCTGGTCGCTAGTCACGGTGGTCTTTAGTTACAGGTTTTACTGTACACACCAATAATTGGTAATTCTGTGCCCGCCGAGCGCGGAACAAAGATATTTTGAACATGAATGGAATACAAATACACGGTAATTGTGAGTTACATGGGAGCTCGCGCTTTTCCTGCCGACTTGAAATGACTGGCTCGCGACAGCCTTCCACTTCCAGGGAATACGAAAAGTGAATCCTCACTCGGCAAACCTGCAAGAAAGCACCTTTTTCACACCACTCCCTGCTCACAACACAGGTTTTCGGGGAACTCGCCCTTCATCACCGGAGCTTGAATGGGGTGATGAGTTTTGCTCCCCGAGGCCAAAAACTAAAGTACTTGGGACACTACAATGACACTCTTGTTTTTCACTTTTTGATTTGTTCCTCCTCCTCCTCCCTTGCCCAAACGCTTTTTTTATGTCGCTCACATGTTTAAAAGGAGGCCGATGGGACATCGCCTGCCAGAGCGCCAACTACCCTCCCTGCGAACTCCAGACAGCAGCAGCGTGAGTCAGTGGATGTGCAGAACCAGGGAGTCGTAAAATATTTTACGACTCCCTGTGCAGAACGAGCGCTGAGCACCGTTGGGCATTTGCAGCATTGTTGCCCGGCTTTACAGTTTCCTGAGTACTCGCAGACTCCATTGCAGCCCCTCACAAAAGTTAAACAACCAAATCACAAGATACCCGCCAACCATGTAGGGACCCGCGGATTCTGCTCGAAAAGGTGGCAGATTCTGCTCGAAAAGCAGTGAAATTGGCAGAACCATACAAACCTTATGGCGGGCAATTCCTCGAATTCTGCTCCATTTTTTTATCCACATACCAAACATGCATGAAACTTACCAGAAAAAGTACCGAATTCTGCCAATTTTTCTGCCGGCAGAATCCGCCGGACCCTACAACCATGCCAACCATGCATCGACTAGGCGCCAGGCGCGAACTGATGGTGGAAGTGGTGAGCAGGAGAGCTCTGTGCCAGAACTTTGCAGCTTAGAGAGCGTGTGTTTACCGCCATATTGCCAGGTGTGTCTTTACCACCATATTTATCAACCCACAAGATGCCTGCAAATTTCCGAAACTGAGCCCAAGTCACTGCATTTCATTGATTCATGGAGTATAATGGTACAAAGATAGTGTGTGTGTGTGTGTGTGTGGTTGGGGACAGGGGGTCAATATGTCAGTGAATAGTCCCCAGCATGAACAGTCATGTAGTCTACAGCGTGACCATAGTAACCATAGGCTGTAGCGTGACTATAGCGAGACCATAGTCTATAGCGAGACCATAGTCTATAGCGTGACCATAGTCTATAGCGTGACCATAGTCTATAGCGTGACCATAGTCTATAGCGTGACCATAGTCTATAGCGTGACCATAGTCTATAGCGTGACCATAGTCTATAGCGAGACCATAGTCTATAGCGTGACCATAGTCTATAGCGTGACCATAGTCTATAGCGTGACCATAGTCTATAGCGAGACCATAGTCTATAGCGTGACCATAGTCTATAGCGTGACCATAGTCTATAGCGAGACCATAGTCTATAGCGTGACCATAGTCTATAGCGTGATCATAGTCTATAGCGAGACCATAGTCTATAGCGAGACCATAGTCTATAGCGTGACCATAGTCTATCTCTTAATTTGCTAAATCCTATATATAGGATTTTGGTCATATTTTTCAACCCAAAATGGGTGTGGCATGAGCATAGGGAAACGTATGTGACCAATTCTTCCGCGTTAGGTCTTAGTCGATATGGAGAGTTGAATAATATATTTTTTTCAAATGCTAACATCTAAGGCTCATCTTCTTGCGCAATATTTCTAAGGCCTGTGCCCTATTTTTTGAATCCTATATATAGGATTTGAGATTTTACTGGACCTTGTTTTATCCTTAAAATTGGTAGTTTCACGACGGCATGTGCGATATGTCGTCATGAAACCACCCCGTGCCACACCTGTAATGTTCTTTTGCACATACACTGCTTCAGTCCTTCCCATGACACCAGCTGAACAATGCTGCTCAAAATTCCAATCCTTTCTCAAAATGGGTATTCATGATGTCCTATGAATCTAAAAAGTAAACATTCATGCCTCAAACATATTTACAGCTTCTAATAAAACCATTATGCTCTTATTATGGGTCATAAATGACTCATGATGACCGATAACAACGGCATAAATGTCACTTATTTTCAAATCCTATATATATAGGACTTTTGCCCAGCAAATTAAGAGATAGCGAGACCATAGTCTATAGCGAGACCATAGTCTATAGCGAGACCATAGTCTATAGCGTGACCATAGTCTATAGCGTGACCATAGTCTATAGCGTGACCATAGTCTATAGCGTGACCATAGTCTATAGCGTGACCATAGTCTATAGCGAGACCATAGTCTATAGCGTGACCATAGTCTATAGCGTGACCATAGTCTATAGCGAGACCATAATCTATAGCGTGACCATAGTCTATAGCGTGACCATAGTCCATAGCGAGACCATAGTCTATAGCGTGACCATAGTCTATAGCGTGACCATAGTCTATAGCGAGACCATAGTCTATAGCGAGACCATAGTCTATAGCGTGACCATAGTCTATAGCGAGACCATAGTCTATAGCGAGACCATAGTCTATAGCGAGACCATAGTCTATAGCGAGACCATAGTCTATAGCGAGACCATAGTCTATAGCGAGACCATAGTCTATAGCGAGACCATAGTCTATAGCGAGACCATAGTCTATAGCGAGACCATAGTCTATAGCGAGACCATAGTCTATAGCGAGACCATAGTCTATAGCGAGACCATAGTCTATAGCGAGACCATAGTCTATAGCGAGACCATAGTCTATAGCGAGATCATAGTCTATAGAGAGACCATAGTCTATAGCGCGACCATAGTCTATAGCGAGATCATAGTCTATAGCGAGACCATAGTCTATAGCGAGACCATAGTCTATAGCGAGACCATAGTCTATAGCGAGACCATAGTCTATAGCGAGACCATAGTCTATAGCGAGACCATAGTCTATAGCGAGACCATAGTCTATAGCGAGACCATAGTCTATAGCGAGACCATAGTCTATAGCGAGATCATAGTCTATAGAGAGACCATAGTCTATAGCGCGACCATAGTCTATAGCGAGACCATAGTCTATAGCGAGACCATAGTCTATAGCGAGATCATAGTCTATAGCGAGACCATAGTCTATAGCGGGACCATAGTCTATAGCGAGACCATAGTCTATAGCGAGACCATAGTCTATAGCGAGACCATAGTCTATAGCGAGACCATAGTCTATAGCGAGACCATAGTCTATAGCGAGATCATAATCTATAGCGAGACCATAGTCTATAGCGAGACCATACTGATAGTCTATAGCGAGACCATACTGATAGTCTATAGCGAGACCATACTGATAGTCTATAGCGAGATCATAATCTTACGTGATTTCCCCTACGGTTCATGTGCAGCAGAGCCCCGCAAATGCCGGATGGCCCCTAATAAACATTTTATGATGCAGTTTGTGCAAGTTTACCAGACTGCCGCTAGCTCTATCAATAATATCAAGAGTACATACAACACACTACAAGTACATAACCCCCAAGAGTGTGCAACTGCCTGCACAACCTCTATGCTGTGCTGCGACGGCAGAACTTCGCATCACGTGAGATGGTTCAAAAGGTTATGCTGGCAAACAGTGCAAAGTGACCACAAGAGAGTTGTACCCAAAGCTGGGCTGCGTACAACCCTGTATCTATCATGCACAGAGTGCAAATAATGTGTACGGGTTCATCACGTGATGTGAAGTTCTGCCGTCGCAGACCCCATATAGCCATAGCTGGAGTTGCACACTCTTGGGGGTTATGTACTCTTGATATTATCAAGGCCAAAATATCCAAGAGTCCATAATCCTCGGGGGATTCTGGACTCTTGGTATTATGGCCAGGTGACCTTGATATCTTGAAGTTCACAGGTTGTGCAAAGGTGGTGTTCAGAGTTTCGCGCCAAACGCACACCCAGTACCCCCCCCCCCCCCACTTTACTCAAGCTTGCTGTACGATGGAAGGTTGGCAGCACACCACAAGTCATACTATAGCCATGATTATGGTCTTGATATCGACATACAGTGCTATACGGTATTGGGTTAGTAGGAGTTTGTTGCTCTGGTTACAGGTTAGGGGCTACATCAGGTGCAAGACGCTGATGAAGCCGGGGGGGGGGGGGGGGGGAGCTGAAAACTTGAAACCACGACGCATTGCTTGCGGGCGTGAGATTGGGGTAGGAAAGGTCGCGTGTTGGGGCAAACGTTACCGAAAACTACAATTGCAAGCACAATAATCAATATTACGATGCGCAAGACTCCTTATTCAGCCGCGTATGTGCACGTGCGTACACGGACCAGTGCTCGGCACAGCGCCAGGGAAAGTGACGAGGTGCTACCGCAGAACGGTTGTTCAAGCACAGTCACTGCCACCACGTCAGTGCGTCACAATTCCCGCGAGGGAGCCAACACCGATCGATGCCGAACAGAGTACCTACGGCACAAATGCCATCAGCGCGTCAAGACTTGGACAGCATGTTACGAAAGCAGCTTGTTACGCGGATCTGAAGCATCCCAGTGCTCATGTGCGTACACCAGCTCCATCATTGGCCCTCAGTTCCCGCCGCAGTTGAACACGGTAAACTTCTGCCCTCGGATCTCTACTCACTAGTTTATGCTTGGCTAAGCATTCTTCCCACTGGGTGCAAGGAGAGAAGCATGCATGGTCTGTTCAACCTTTTTCAGCCGGGAATCATCAGACTAGCGATGCCCGTCCACTAGAGTTCATGGAGGAAACGAAATATTTCGAAGGGCCCTGGCTGTACTGGTTGTAGATGTCGTCCGGCTCGTCGGCTGATCTTCGAGACGTATCCGCGGCGCTGTAGTGGCTTGGCGATTGAACGACAAACCGATCCTTGGGCATCTTGCCCAGACTGTGAAGCTCCTGGCCGGGATCCGTCGTCTCTGATTGGAGCCCTACTGTAGGTGCAGTGTCAGCCTTGTGGTATTGGTTAGGCGGCAGGGTGGGAGTTTCGTACACGTCTTCCTGCTCTAGTTCCATGACGGGTACAGGCCTCCTCGCCTTGCGAGCTTCCTCCTGTTGCGTCGTGTTAGTTTGCTGCGGTGGAATATCATTGTATTCGTTGTGCTGCAGGGTTGGCTGCGACACAAACGTCGACGGTGGCTCCCAGTTCGGAAGTAGTTCTTCCGGTTCAGGTTTCGACAGATGCCTTCTCAGCGCAAGGGGAGAATGGCGCATGGATTGACTCAGACGAATTATCAGAGACGGTTTCTTCTTCTCCACGGATTGGAAAGAACTGTCCCCAAGCGTTTCGAAAGCACTGCGCTCCTCGTTGATGTCATAATCCGGGCTGGCCTCTATCGCCGCAGTAACTTCCGCCTGAAACGTGCTAGCGCCAGTGGTCATATAGAGCTCTTGGTTGCTGTATGGTTCAATGGAATGCCTGCTGTAGGGCTGAATACTGTGCTGTCTGTATGGGTCAATCGAGTGATCGGTGTACGGCTCAATTGAGTAATCCGTGTACTGCTGGCTGAAGTGCTCTCCGTATGGCTCAATGTCACCATTGCTCTGCTCGATGAACTGCTGACAGCCCACCGCTGATAGGTTCTTGAGAGTGTGCGAGGACACCTTCTGGGTCAGCTGACGACCAGCCCTGCCCAGGTCCTCGTACACATCGTACGGCTCTTCAAACTCTGCGGCTGCGTCGGTGGTAGCCTGATTGGGCAGTGCGGTTGGCAGCTCATTGTACGACAAGCAGGCCGACCTGCCATCGCCATCTCTCAAGTCCAGTTCGTAGCCGTCCTCAGCTCTTTGTTCTGGTTCGGATGGGATCCCATTTGCTAGGCGTGTAGCAGCACCGAGGACCTGGTAGACGGTGCTGTTGGCTTCCACAACTTGCCTGACGTCAGGCGCAGCGGACTTGTGCCCGAGAACATCCGCATTAAAGTTACCGCGGGAATGTTGACTGGTCGTATATATGTTAGCTTTGTCGTCCGTCGTCCCCTGTGCACACAGCTTATTCTTTCCGCGCATGGACGACGCCTTGACGACCTTCTTCATACTCTGGCGCATCTCCTCGCCGTCAAAGTACGTGTCTTCTTCGGGCTCTGGGGTGTCGTCGTCCTCTTCTCTGAGCCCTCCTCCGGCGGCCAAATCCGGATTGGCATTGTTCCTTCGCTCCTTGCCACGGAAAGCGTCGAACGTGGACGGTCGTTCCTGCAAGCCAAACTTCCCTGGCGGTATTTCGTAGATGCCCAGGGAGGCCATCGACGTAGCGGACTGCGCTGATCGCAGCGGCCGGAGCGGGTCGCTGGTCTCATACTCAGGCGCGGTAACCAAGTTAGTGGTGGATGCTGCCCGGAGCGGCTGCTTCCGTGAGTCCGAGGTCGACGAAGCGTCGTTGTTGTCAAGACGATGGTTTCCGACGCCGTTGGCAACAGACCAGCTGCTCATGTTCCACGTTCTCGGCCATAATCCTGCTCAGCGTGAAACAAGACAAGCAAAACATGAACACGTTCGCAACGGTGCGTGACCATGCCGCACGCTCCAGCACACGCCCACGAGCAGCCGCACGCGTGCAAACACAGACACAGGTACACACACACACGGGCAACACACACACACACACAGGCAAACACACGGACAGGCAGACAAAAAACAGATGTACAGGCACACACGCACACGCGCGCGCGCGCGCGCGCACACACACACACACACACACACACACAAACAAATGAACGTTTTTCCAACTTTCTTTCCCATATCATTCCGTCAAACTGCTGACTAATCGTCTGCTATTATGCTCCAAATCATTGTTTGGAAAGGTGTGCTCGTTAAATAGAAGTGGGATGCAGTGAGTTACTGTCGGGTGACGAAGAACCCTGACTTGAAGAATGAACAGGCATAGCAATGTATATGCGGTGACTCAACTGTGCATAGCCTGTAGTACATGCAGATAAGAACGGTCTAGGCTAGTAGGTTGAGCCTCCCCCTCCCCCCCCCCCCCCCCCCAGTTCTTCCGCACCTGACAGTACTGTATGCGAGCTAGTCTGACTTGTTTCTATCGGTAGCTCAAAAAAGGCAGTCCTTTACCTAACGATTATTCGTACAGGTCACATTATGGCATGTAGACTGCATAGTGCTTTCAACAATAATAGTTGTACTTTCAGATCATTGGAGTTTGGTGTAGCCCACATCCGTTGTTACTGAGCACTCAATGCTAGTGTGGCTTTCCCAAATATTATTTCTTTGTTACCCTCTCCCATGCCGTTGTACATAAGTTCCCGGTCACACATGCACTCAAAAGTAGCGGTTCCGCTGAAGCGATGCCGCAGGAGCGGAAAATACCATGGCAACTGCGAGAAGCGGAACTGCGGCTCCAGCGGAAAGTCAAATGCGCTGTCTCCGAAATTTTGAGAGCAGCACGCTCGCTTCCGTGAAATACACCACGGTCTGCTGAATATGGACTGCTATAAGAAATTTGAATGCGTATGATGTCTGTGCAACAAAATATGCGGGGCAGATACCGTACTCGCGCGATTAGAGCCCTCTCTTGAATAGTGCCCTATCTCGAATAGTGCCCTAGTCTCCAAGAGCCCGTGACAAATAAAGCCCTCTATTGAATAGTGCCCCCCCCCCCCCCCCGGTCTTGTAACCAAGCCCATGTGCAAGTTTGGTGTTCTTTTGCTAATGTTCTTGGCCATTGCTTTGCACTGGTGTTTTCAGGAACAAAATCGCACGTCTTGTTCCCGTTTCTGTGGAGTCGCGAGCGTTTACAGTACACTTTAGGCTCCGTTTTTCTTTGTTTTATGCTGGATGACGCAAATGTGCCAGCAATGAAAAAATAGTGCCTCGCTGCCGTAGACCCTCGCCACCGAAGCGGCACCCCAGTGCATGTGTGACCGGGGCAGTAAGCGGTTTGCCACGGATATGTCATTAAAAATAATACTGCAAAAGCCATATAATTATATAATTTAGTGCTAATTCTGACGAGTTAACGAGGAGAAATCAGTCGTTAAAATAGAAAACGTTCGACAGAAATTGATACATATTGTTGCTACTGAGCGTTGAGAATGAGTGAGAATCGTTACCTTTGGTACACGTAAACTGGTCAATTTGGGGAAATGGTTATACCGTTAAGTACCGCCAGAGCGCCCCGTCTCGCGAGAGCGCCCTACCTTGATTTTACAGCTAGAGAAAGGAAAATCGTATGGCAGAGAGCAACGAAGTGTGTACGATGTGAGAATCTTAGTGTACTAAGGTCACACTTGGCAGGTTTTTGTGTGGAGCTTGTGTCCGCTCGAAGGTACGGATTGACTGCAAAACGTGCAATATGTGTACAAGGTTCATGTCGTATGACTTACAGACAGCAGACCACCTCCACAATACGACCACGAAAGGATGAGATGGTGGGGCGCTCTGGCGGTACTTTACGGTAATTATATGTGTGCATCGTTAGAATAATGGCTTTTACAGTAATAATATTTATATGAGGAACACGGATGTTGCTACTGGTGCTACAAGGAGACCTACTGTAAAAGCAGGATTTTTCGTAGTGTAATAATATGTTTGGTATTCTCCAAAATCGGCGGGTCTGTGGAGGGGAATTTTCGGTAAAACCCGTTTTCCAGGTCAGTGTACTGGTACCATTGTGCATGATTGTACTGGTAGAACCGGGATTTTCCGTAAAAATTGTCGGCACCAAAGTTACCGAAAATAGAACCACACCAAAAATTTCTGCTTTTACAGTATAGACAGTATGAGCACAGGAACGTGTGCATGCAGTCATGCAGTCATGCATGGCATGCAGTCAGGCAGTCATGCATGGCATGCAGTCATGCAGTCATGCATGGCATGCAGTCATGCAGTCATGCATGGAATGCAGTCATGCAGTCATGCAGTCATGGAGTCATGCATGTTATGCAGTCATGCAGCCATGCAGTCAACACACTCACACACTGGTATATTGGCACACGCATGCATGCATAGAAATGCATGCACATAAACACACACGCGCATGCATGCACACTCACATCACACAAACACACGCATGCATGCATGCACACTCACAACACATAAACAC